ACTTAAAGAACTCGCCTCTGGTTTAGTTAAAATGGCAAATTTACACGACTTGGAATGAGGAAGCCCATAATTGATCACCTCGTTAAACATGCTAATCGAGAGAAATTATCCTCCAATTATGAAAAGGTGTATCAAGATTTTAGAATGGAAAGATATGAGCATGAGAAGAAAACCAATAAGAAAAAACAGACTAGGTTTGAAAAGGAAAAAAGATCATTACTTTTAGGAAACGTCCCAGAGGAATCTGATGAGGAGATTTCAAGACCTAAAAAGGTTAAAAAGAATAATAATAGAAATATTGTCAAGTCTAAAGTTATAGAAAATGATGATTCTTCAGATGAATCTGATAACAGTGCTAGCTCAGTACCACCTCAAAAGAAATCGTCTAAAGAATCAAGCAACAAAAAGAAAACTGCCACCGTTTTACCACTACCATTAAGGAAGAGTAAGGTTATTCAAGATGAATCTGAGGATGATCAATTGGCATCCTCTTACAAGTCTCTCAACAAGACAATTGATTCTTCATCCAACTCATCAAGAGTTTCTTCTTCAAAGAATTCTTCACAAAGAATACCTCAAGAGAAACCACCATCTTTGAATAATTTAAGAAATGAATCATCTTCATCAACCAAGAAGAAATCATCCAATACTGCATCAACAAATTCTTCATCATCTACTGTATCCAACAATGTATTAGCAAGTTCTTCATCAACAAAAAGAGCACCAATTAATGCCTCACTAAGAAATACATCTTCCAAAACTGCTGCTGATTCAATTGGTTTCTCTTCTGCTGTTACAACCACAAAGAATCCTTCCTCTTCTAATTTACCCCCAACAAGTTCTTCATTCAACAAGAAGAAAGCATTGAGTGCAGCACCCCCTGTTGGTGACCAGAGGAAAAGAAGTGCATCTTCCTCCACTAACAATAGCTCTTCTAATTTACAACCACCAACTAGTGCTGGACAGAATACTGAGCAACATAGACCCAAATTACCATCATTTAAGAGGAAGTCTGATCCTTCTGAAACCAATCCCAACAATTAAATAATTTATTGGTCAGACATTCACAGTGAATTGGTTGAACATTAAACGGAATGTCTTGTGTATTTTTTGTATGCACGGAACGTTCCGTTTACAATAAAACATTCCGTTCAGAAGGTTTTTGTTAAAAAGCACTTCCGAATTTTACTTCGAAAAAAAATACAACAACAAGATGTCTACCGAAACATTTAAATTTCAAGCTGAAATCAACCAATTGATGAGTTTGATCATCAATACATTTTATAGCAATAAGGAAATCTTCTTGAGAGAATTGATTTCTAATGCTTCTGATGCTTTGGATAAGCTTCGTCATATTAGTTTGACTGAACCATCAGTCTTGGACACTGAAAGGGAATTGTGTATTCGTATCATCCCTGATAAGGTTAACAAGACTTTAACCATCATTGATACAGGAGTTGCCATGAGTAAGGCCGATTTAATTAATTGTCTCGGTAATGTATTGCGATTTATTT